GCTAAGGTTTGTGTTATAAGCAGATTGTAGCAACCAGGTCGACCCTGAAAGCCTAAATGGCGAAGGTGCGGTAGATTACAACATGAAAGAATAGTATGAGAAAAGAAGGAGATAAGAGTGAGATAAGCCGTAAATTGTGTTTTACAGCAACTAGCTGCAAAGCAACGTTCGCTTCAGAATTGTTGGGACTAGCTACTGCAGCACCATGCTGTTCGGATCGTCTGTGTTTATTTACATTCCGCCTTCTTGGTAGTTGCACCCTGTTGAATGACAGCAAAAGGAGTAATATGTCTTACTCATCGAATTTTACTTTCTGGCTTGGTCTGAACAGTTTTTACTCACTCATTTTTTGTCGGAATGATATTTTTGTTGATAAAAATTGCGTTTGAGAAATAGTGGAGAATAATCTCTACCTAAAATTTTCGAGTTGTAAACTGCCCATTCCGCATAATCTTCACAATTTCGCATGGTTTTTTAATGTAAGTATATCTTTTGATGAAAAAATTAGCATTCTCTAATGGGACCAGGACATAAGATTTTCTGTAAATTGCAGCCGAAGAAGAAAAAGCCCTTCTTTTTTCTAGGTGCTAAGTGAGGAAAGTGTGGACCCAGTGAGGACAACATCAAACGATATTTGTGAAATATTCGAAGTACTGGGAATTGAAGCTGTTCGTAAGGCTATTGAACGTGAAATGAATCACGTGATTTCCTTCGACGGCTCATACGTGAACTACAGGCATCTGGCATTGCTATGTGATGTGATGACAGCCAAAGGTGAATTTGTGTTTTTTTTTTTTTTTTTTCTAAAAGTTTCTGTACGGCTACATTTTTTCCCTCGATTGGGTAGCGATACATTTCTGTGAGGAAGTTGGATGGAGGACATTGGTGAGTTAAAGAATTTTTTGGTGAAGACGAAGGAAGATGGGGATAGTGACCGGATTACCAGGTAGTGCTACTGCTTCGGCTATAGTTGTTTTATAAATTTTTTGTTAAATTGCTGGCGAGGAAATGTGTTTCATCGAAAAAGCGAAAAATGATGCATTAAGCAACATCAGAGCCTCAATTTAAAGAATTTTTGATTGGAACTCTAATGCTGAAAATCAGAGCTTTTACGGTTATGAGCTTTTTACAGTTTTTTTTCCAGTAAAGTCGGGTTTTTTACAGTTTTAACGGATTTGGTCATTATTCGGCTTGCAAATCCTTCATTTGTTTCCCTTAATAAATTTGTACTAGCAAACCCATGGAGTTGAATCGTTATCACTTTGCCTGTATTCAGCTCTTGGGAAAGGGTGCCATGGGCAGCCTTGCGAATGCAGATGTGCCTTTATTCGAGCACTCCCCTGAATGCCTCCGCATCTGGCAACTTGTGATTTATGGAAGGTTTCGGAATTTTCGATTTTGACTAAAATTCCACCATTTCATTGCTTTAAGCCGTTTTATTGCATTTCAGGACATTTAATGGCAATCACACGACACGGTATCAACAGGCAGGAAGTTGGTGCTCTGATGCGCTGCTCGTTTGAGGAAACCGTCGATATACTGATGGAAGCAGCTGTGCACGCTGAGCAAGATCCCGTAAAAGGTACTAAGATTACGGCACATGCATGAGCCGATGCACCGGGAATAAAATGCGCAGCACTCACCACTGATTCATTTCGAGGAGAATTTTAGCAATCTGTGGACAAATTTAAAGCTTGTTGAGGAGTTTTGCATATGCCAAATAATTCGATGATTTTGTAAATTACTACCTCCGCTCCAGTTGCCAAGAATTTGTCACGTTCTTAGGGGCCTAGTAAAGTCGGGAAGCACAATCCATCACTAACACTGTTTGCGCATGTCATGGAATTAAACTCCCGCTCAGTTTGTTTCTAAGCAGTTCTCCAAAGAGCGAACCACTGACAAATTTGTCAGCAAGTTATTACTGGTTCATCCCACTCCGCCTTCCATTGAGTGTGAGGATGGGTTTTTCCAAAATATTTCGTATTTCTGAAAAGCGTAAGTCATACGCGAAGAGGACAGGGGAGAGGGGGGGGG